ATGAGGATTGGTGGGAAGGCTAGGAACCAGCTTTTCTCATCCCCCATCCTAGTCTTCACACACCTGCTGCCCACCCACCAGCCACCAGGAGCTCGGGCATCCCTCCCCAGTCTCACACGCATATGGACCCCCTCCTGTCAACAACAGGATCCTTGGAGAAGCCACTACAGACTCAGTGTCACTATCTGGTGTTGTACTGCCTCTTTCTGCTCCTCTCCAAGCTCTGGCACCCTGGCCTACTCACCACACTCTCTCATCCTGGGACCTCCCATGTCTGACCTTCTACCTGGAACATTCTTTCCCAAGTCTTGACTGGTTCACTCCTTTCCAGCCAGGACTGGTCAAAGTTCTATCATTCCTCTGTTTCACCCCCATGCACAGCCATCCTTTCTGCTGAAAGAAATTGCTACTTTCCCAGATTATCACCGCTGGCAACCGTGGAGACGTGTGTGTGTGTATGTGTGTGTCTGTGCATGTGCACACATGTGTATGGAGCTGTTGGTGACCCGTTTCCCGCATGCTTACTCCCTGCTACAACAGGAACATGATGAGAGCACAAGGCTTGTCCATTTTGTTCTCTGCAGTTCCCCAGCACAGAGCCTGGTACAAATGAGACACTCTTCCCCTCCCCACTCCAAATCCGCTAAATGAACCAGTCAAGGTGTCTGCAGGAAAAATGAGCCAGTGGCTGGAGATGTCTTCAGACAGCAAGAGATCACAGCGTCGTTCTCCATTGGGATGATCTCAGCCAGTCTCTCCTGTGGGCCCCAGAGTGAGTGCTAGAGCCACTGCTGGAGGCCCAGACGCCCTTTGACCTGTTTGTGCGTGGAGGGAACAAGCTTCAGAGCCTTTTCCATCAGCAACTTCCTGTGGCCAGTTTGCGCAGGCCCATGGGCCTCTCTCATCACTGCGGTCCTTCCGCTGCCAATCCACACACACCCTTGGAACCACTCTCTTCAGATGGCCCTAGGCCCACCATTTTGGTCCTCCATTTTGGATCCAGTTGAGGTGAGGTTACTGTGTAGTAAGGGAGGCCCAAGAAAGGGTTAAGTCGCTGGCAGCACAGTTCCGCCCTTGGGCTTGCTCAGCCAATCAGAGTCTGTCCTGATGAGGTAAAGCTTCTATCCTGGGTAGCATTGGCGGAGGTGCCCAGCCCCATCTCCTGCTGGAGAGAGCCGTAAGGGTGGAGTTTCTGTGGAACCAGACAGAACTGGAATTAGCTTGCTGTCTACTCAGGCCATGGATGCCTGACTTCAGGACCTGCCTCTGTTCCTCACCAAGTCACTTGGACAGACCTTGGCATCCCCAGGCCAGGTTCTAACTGCCCTAAGCAGTTGATGAGATGGCACGCACCCACCTCTGTATCCCATCTAGGAGAGGTCTGACAGCCAAAGCTGATTCTGGAGGTCCCCATCTCCCCGCCTGGGCCCTGGAATATGGCAGGCGGCTATGGTGAGGTGCCACGGAGCGGCTGGTCCCAAGTGCTCAGAGTGGCGGCGTCAGCTTCCAGGAGGAGCAGGGCTGGCAGATGGCTCCTCTTACGGACATCCCTTAGAATCAGCTAACACCAGCGGCTGGTCAGCAGAGATCTTCTCGCAGGCCACTGGGCCCAGCACTTTGAGTTTACGCCTCCCTGTTCATCCAACCATTTGACTGATGCAGAAACTGAGTTGAAGAGGCCAGGCAGCTCTCTGGGGTCTCCTACTGCTCACCACGTTAGTTGGAGCAGTCTGTTGTCACTACACTATGACCTCCAGAGGGAGGAGTGCACCAGATTCCTTTGAGCGTACCCACTGCTCATACCTGAGAACTCAGTGGCCAAACACTTCCTCTCAGCTGGCTGGCCTGTCCAGTGCCAACACCCAGCTGGGCCACCCCTCTCACCCGCACCTGCCTGCATGGCTTTTAATGCTTGGATCTTCATTCCAGTGCCCCCGCCACTTCTCTCCAGTCAGGAGACATCAATAAGGACAGGAACTAGGCTTTGCTCATCTCTGCGATCCCAGAGGGCCTGGCATCTGGCACAGAGAAGGCATTTATTTTGTGTATATCACTGATAACCAAGATAGAGTCGCCCTGCCTCTCCCTCCTGGTTTTGAACCCCAGCAGCCGCAGGTGGGAGCAGTTCAGTCACTCCAGATTGGAAGCATCACAGAAGGCCCCATGCAGTGCGTGTACTACGAGCCTCAGGCAGCCAGAGAAAGGGAGAAGGTCTCCAGGGACAGGTAGTGAAGCAAGACTAAAGTCTGCGTTCAGAAGAGATGGATGGGGTGCCGGGCAAGAGAGGAAGTGGGAGGAATCTACAGGCAAAGAGTGAGCAAGAGACAGACAATGGACTCCCCTCCCCAAAGAAGTATCATGGGACTGTGGCCTGGCCCACTGGGACCCCCCACACTTGCCAGACCACAGAATCCTGTTCCTGCCCCTGCCTGCCTCTGGAAGCAGAACAGAGCTGGTCCAAAGGGCAGCAGATTTCACAGGCAGCCAAATCCAGCAGAAGTCTTCGGGGCACAGATTTCCCCATAGAGACAGAATGAGCTCAGGGTCCTCAGCTCCCCAGATAAACACATCACAGCATCTGAAGAGCCCCCGCCCCCGCCCCCAGCATGTCGTTCCTCCCCTGAGTGAGTGGCTGCTTACATTCACAGCAAAAAGTGCACTGATGACTTTTTTTATGCATTTGGGAAGCGCTTTCCATTCCCTGAGGTATTTGAAGAACTTGCCATCCCAAGGCGTCAGCAAGCACTGTGGATAGGACAGGGACACAGGCTGGGGGCGGGGGGGTGGCAGATTCGGGAATTGCCTTTCCAGAGGAAGAAATTTGATGGGGTGGAGGGAGTGTTGGTTTCACTTTCCTTTGTTTAGTAGAAGGCAAAGATTCAGAAAAGGCATCAAAGGATGCACTTCTTAGTCTCCAAAGGCATCAGCAAGCAGGGTGAGTTGTACTCAGAAAGCAAGAAGCAGTTTCTGAGGTCTTCTTGGCCCTACCTCTCCTCCCCTGGGGAACAGCCACATTAGTGGAAAAGCTGCAATGCTGCCCTGGGTCACTCAGGTTGCAGGGAACTAACAGACCTGAGCACAGGTGGGTGATGGGCTGCGCCAGCTGGACAGCCACCTGGACCCCATTACCAAGGTCAGGGAAGCCGTCTGGCACTCTTTAGGGCTGGAGAAAGTTCTGTCTGCCGTAAATTTAATCTGGAAGTATTCTGTGCATGGCTCAAAGAACCAATTCGCTGAGACCCAGAGGCGATACCACAGTTCTCAATAGCCAGACCCCTCTTCTTTTCCCTTCTGCCCCGTGCACAGCTTCCCCATGACACTCAACATCCAAACAGCTTTGGCATGAATTATGTTCCACCTGCTGCCTGCCCATGATGCCAACAGCCCATGCCAGGCCCAAACTAGCTGCAGACACTCACCATTCTGCCCAAAGGCAAAGGAGGGGGTGGTTTCTCTGAGCACTGACACACCTCTGTCAGGCACATTCTAGAGTCAGCAAACTCTGATGTTGGGCATAAAGACCTCTCTCCCTCGGAGGAGGAAGTTAGTACAAAGCAAAGAAAGGTGGAGGCACAAGTTCAGCCACTCAACATTTGCCTCATCATGCTCCGCCCATCCTCACTCCACACTCCGCCGGGTAAACAGGGCGTGGCCTGGATTCCCAGCCCAGACTGACAGGAGAGGGCAGGCTATAGCAACCATGATAACAGGTCTCCCCTCAAAGACAAACCTGATACTGGAGCGAGTGTCGCACCATCGGGAGCAGGGACGGGACAGTGCCCTCCCTACAACTCTGGTTAGGCGTGTGCCTGTGCAGTTCCATGTCAGCTGCAAACCCCCATCAACCCTCTAGGGGAGGAACCTCATGTGACTGATAGGGGACATCAAAGTACAGAGCCATGAGCAACTTGCCCAAGGTCATGGTGAAGGCTGAACATGTCCCAGGACCCACACTCTGTCCGATGTCTTCCTCCCATCAAAGTTGATCTTACCCCTGCCTGGAGTCAAATAGCATCACATCTCTGATGACACAACTCTTTGGTAACCCTGCCCACCAGCCACTGTCCAGCACCCTTCTCCCCAGCTCTCGCCACAGGGGCCACTCCTCACTCCCACCCCCACCCCGGCGAGGAAGCAGCAAGGCCAGAGTTTCCAGCTGCTCCTTACACTTGTCCCTCCACTTCTGGCCAGGTCTAGCAGAGCAACTGCACCAAACAACTATGCAGCTAGTTGGACCCCAAACTTCCAACGGTCAAACTCAGTCCCCAAATGGCCTGTGCTTTGAGTAACAGAAGGGACATGAGGGTCTCAACAATGGGGGATGAGAACTCTGCTTTGTTTCTGTCATCAGCAGGGATCAAAGGAAAAAGCTCTGGTCCTGCTCCCATCACATTATCCAATCCCCCAGCCCACCCCCTACTCTGGACCGGATGAGTAGGTCTGGTCCAGATCAGCCTCCCCAGAGGGACTGGTCATCTCCCAGGCTCCAGCTGGCTGGTCCTCAGGCCCAGCGGTGGATATGCAGCTCCTCTGGCTCTGGCCTAGATCAAATTCTAACAGCTTCTGCTGCAAACATCCCCTCAATTATGTCTGCCTCGGGCCAGCATTAAACACCAGCACACTGCCCTTCCCCCACACCCCGGGCAGGGCCTGCCCCCTGGCAGAGGGGACCGTATGCCAGACAACAGCAGGGAGGCCAGCCCAAATTAAACCCCGCCACGGGCAAACCAAAAGAAGAGCTGAGAACTGGCGGAGTCATGTGCTCAGTTTGTCTCTAATGTTCTGCTGGAGCAACGTTAAACCCACTTGAAGGACCCAATGAAAAGCCAAGGACGGAGACATTCAAACACAGGCCCTCCTCTCACCAGGAGCTCATTGCCCAGCTCCAAGTTCCAGCCAAACTCAGGCTAGCCCCGAACTCAACTTGGAGGTCCAAGGGTGGAGGGTGGCCCTAGGGGAAGTCAGGCAGCCAGGGCTGCAGCTGCAAACAAGGCCCTTACCTTGCTCTCCAGGGGCGAGGCAGCCAGCTGTTGCTGCTTGGCGATGTTCTCTGCCAGGCACCAGCACACTCTCTTCTTCTGCTCCTGTGAGTGTGCCTCCAAAGTGAATAAGCACTCTGCCTTCTGACGTCAAGGAAAACAGAGAAAGGGACGGGTCAGGGCTGCTCTCTGATCGGGGGGCTCCAAGGCCCAAGCCCCACCCTGGGCTCCCAAGGGTGAGGCTGCTGTGAGGAAGTGAGCTCCCACTAAAAGCTACAAATGTACACTAATCCCCAGTGACACTGGGAAGTGGGGCTGGGGGCAGCTGGTGAGCTATTGGCCTGTGGGGGAGGGGAGAGGAGGGACACAGTAGCTCCCAACATAGGGGAGGCCTGTGGGGAGCCGCAGGACAATGATGGGGTTGAGACTAGACAGGGCAGCAGGCAGCCTGGGTAGTGTGTGGGGAATGAAGAGTACAACAGCTCCAGGCTGCTACTCTGTGCATCCTGGATCTCCCTCCAGCATGCTCTTCCGATTGCCAAGTCCAAGTCCACCAGAACCCAAACAGTCAGTCACTGGAGTCCCTGGGGGTCGCCCATAACCTGAAATCCCATGCCCCAATGTAGCACGTGATCTAGGGGTCAGCAATACTTATTCAGCCCCACTGAGGCAGCCATATCTCTGGCACAGCTGTCATTCAAATTTCACCAAGTACCATAAACCGCTTCTGGGAAGGCCTTTGCTGTCCAGGCCTCATGTCATGCATAGCAGGGAATGGCCTCTGTAAACTCTGGCTACCTGAAGGAACTTCCAGGAGGTTGAATTTAGCCCAGCTTTGGTACAAGCACCATGGAACTACAGGGATTCAGGGAGTTGCCATGAAATAGTATGTGCTGGGGGCAGAGTGGGGCGGTGCCACCATCTAGGGTTACCACCCACTACCATCACTTTCTAACTCCAAGGGAATTTGGACTGGCGCCTCCCCTCCTCCATAGCAGCAATTAGATGGACTGAGCCAGAGAGCTTGGAGCTTAAGCCATTTAGAACAGAAAAAAAGAGCGCTCCCACCCAGTCCTTCCTCATCTCGCAGCTGGACAGGCCTGGTTTAGTGCCACTCTGCCATTTTCCTGGCTCAGGAGAGTAGTGAGCTTTCTGTAAAATGGGACAATGACACCACCTACTTCATAGAGCACCTGGGAGGGCAAGCGGTGAGGACAACCCAGGCCACATCACACAGTAGCTGGTGTTGTTAACTAACTGTTCACTAGGCACACAGTGCTGGACCCCAACTCTGGATCAGGAACTGGCCTAGGTGCTAGAGATGAGGAGGTTAACAAAACACAGCCCTTACCCTGGAGTTGGGAGTGTTGGGGGGGGGGGGGGGCGGTAGGGAGGGATTGTCAAACTGCTAAAGAAACAAATAAGCAATATAATGATAAGCTATGAAACGGTATGAAGCTCGGAAAGTGAGAGACCACACTTAAGCAAGGTGGTCAGAAAAGTCTCACCTTAGAAGGAAGTGACACCAGAGCCAAGGGCTGATGAACAGGAAGAAGTCAGCCAGCAGAACACTAGAGGAACTTAGGCCTAGTGGAAGCCCTGAGGCAGGGATGGCTATTGCTATCACCTTATGTCATCTGGGAACTTTCCCACCCTTCCCTGGAGTCCACCTCCCATGCCAAGTGTCCCCAATGCCAGCCATTCCTCTCCTGCTTTAAGTCCTTGGACGGACACTCATCCTCCTGAAAGCAGGCAAGGAGAGGGAAGACAGCCCTGGCTGCCGGACTTAGGGAGCTGGGCAGTGCACTGGACAGTACTGAAGCTTCTGCTTCACCACCTGCTCCTGCTGCTTTCAGGACCTTCCAGCCCAATGCAGGGTGAGGATGGTGACACACCCAACAAAGAACCCAAGGTTCCCCTGGGAGAAAGGGGTAGGGGAGACCCAGACCAGGGGCCCTCTGCTGCTTGCCTTGTCCTGGTCCACTGCAAAAGGAGGTGTGAGTGAGGGCTACAGTCCCTTCCAGCTGGCCAAGGGTCCTCCTCAGAGCAGGCCCCAGCCTCAGCACTCTAGCCCTGCTTTTATCTAACCATTTGGACTCTGGCAAATTCCTCCCCCTCCCTCAGCTTCCATATCCTATTCTCTGTTTGAAGCAGGAATTCCACCATCATACCAATTCCTGATAGATAATTATGAATTTTCAAATTTCCCATTCATGATGACCTGTGGATCTTGGAACTCCACAAAGAGGCATGAAGGCACAGGTTGTTGTTCCCATATTCCAGAAGAGAAAAACCAAAGGTCAGAGTGACTAAGGGCCTCCCAGCATCTAACAGCCTTGAAGCCTTGGAGTGGCAGACTTGAAGCCTTGGAGCAAAGCCTGCAGAATTTCCCTCCCTAACCTGGAGAGGCTACTGCACTGCTGGCTGGTGAGACTGCTCCCCTGGCAAAGAGACCCTAGAGATAGGCAGACTGCAAACTTTCAGAAGAGACTCTAGACCACTGGGCCTGGGAGACCTGTGGGGTTTGTGGCAGCTTTCTAGACAGCCGTGCCCTGCTCTAACCTCCCTAGAGAAGTATAATGACCTCATGGTAAGAGGGCTGCCCAGCCCTGGCTCTCAAACTTTCCACCTGGTGCCCAAACAGGGCAAAACACTAGGCCAGCACTCCAACAAACTGGCAAGAGAGCAGCTGTGATCATCCCCATCCTATGAACACCTGCAAGACCGTCACCTGCTCCCTACCCCTCAGGGAAGCCATGTGTCTCTCTCTGGCCCAGCAGGCAAATGAGCTGCACTAGGATCTCGTGTCCAAAGTACTAGCACAGAAGTTCCTTTAGAATCTTGGAAAAGTCATGCTTCCCCAGCTGCAGAAGTGACCAAAGTGCCTTTCTCAGGAACAGCATGTTGGGCGGGGCTCCCTGGCCCTGAGAGCTTGAAGACAAAAACCTTCAACACTAGAAGCCCCAAAAAGTTTCTGAAGCAAAACCTGGGCCTGGCCCAGGCTGTCATAAATGGGCAACTCTGCAGGGGGCTGGCCTTGAGGCACTGAGTCAACTCCCACCAGTGACTAAGTTCCCCTCTCTCGAAATCTGTCTATACTGGAGCCTTCATTGCCTGGTGGTGGTTCCCTGACAGCAAAACTGTCTCTGAGTCCAGGGTGTGATCCAACCCCATGCCAGCTCTCCATGTGCCCACAATCCCAGGTTCCAGGGCATCACCCAGAAGCTTCCCTGCAGTGCGACCCAGCACATGGACATCCCTAAATCCAGCCAGATACTCAGCTCCATCTGGCCTCCTTAAGACCCCATCTTGTCTTACCTCCTTCCGTGCAAGTTGACTTTGTTTTTGTAAAATAGCAAATACATAAAACAAAAACACCTGCAGCTACAGCTTAAAATCTGTCCATGTACACTGATAGAACTCTACGACATGGGAGAATGTTTTAACAGATCTATGTACGGCTGCACCCATTTTTCAACTGAAAATACTAAGACACAGAGAGTAAGTTGTCAGTCCAAGTCTAGAAGAGTAGATTCAGGGTTTATCTCTTGTATGCCCGAGCCCATCTGAATATGCACGTCACAAAGAAGGCGAACAGTTCCTCCCGGCTTTCATTTAAGAAAATCAATAAGGCAGTGGTGATGTTTCTAATGGAGAGAAAATGAATATAAAAAGCTCTTCCCCTCATTATGAATCTGAAAATAATGATAGCTAACATTATTGAGCACTCACTGTGTGCCAGGCTCTGTGCTAAGTGCTCATTGAATCTCATTTAATCATTACAACCCGGCAAGGTGGGCCTCATCGGCCTCCTGTCCGATACTACATAGCTTGCTCCAAATCACTCAGGAAATGGCAGAGCCAAGGCTCAGACTTAGGTCCAAGGTCATGATTCTAGGCTAGGAAATGGTCCCTAACCAACATGCCCATTGACTCAATGCCTCTGGTGCTCTGCAACCCGTCATGGGCCCATCTGCTCCCAGAGATTGTAGGGGCATATTTTTAGGCACTAGAGACCCAGAGCCAAGTACTGCAGAGGATAATTATCTGCATGATCTTAGAGCCAGAGAATGATCAGAGAAAATACCTTGGCAATTAACACTTTCTCCATATGGAGTGGGAAAGCATTCCCCAAATCCCAACCCTCTTCTGGTGTCTTCTCTGAGCTGACCCACACACCAGAAGTTCCAATCAAGATGCGAGTTTGGATGCTCCACAGAATCCAAAACCACCCATGTCAAGAAGGTCCCAGGCCACAGAGCAAGCAGGCATGCATCTCCCCTGCATTACAGAATGCTTCTCATGAACAACAACCCATGAAGAAGAGAGGCTTGTAGCTTCCCGTGAACTTCAATACCACAGTCGCCAGGTCAGATCACCTAGCAGGGTACTGAACTAGGACTCCTGTCATCAATCTTCACAGGACTAGAAGGTCACAGACCTTTGTGGAACACAAGCACGTTCTTCTCCAGACAAAACAAACCCAACCTGCAGAGAGCTCTCTGGCCATTAAGGAACTTAGAGCTTCATGGCAGGGAGTGAAGCTGGAGGAAGAGCCAGCCTAGGCTTCTTTCTGTTGCACTCTGCTCTCTTGGCTCCACAGGACTCAACACACTTCCAACACTGAAGGGATTCCACCTGCCCCCTCTGTGCCCCAGTGGGATGTAATTGCCACAAGAGAGGACACCCAATGCTTCCTTGGCCTTCAGATCTCGAGTTCCAGGCAGCCACAGTCCCACATACGTACTACCTTTGATGCTAATTTCTCATTAACTGTCTTTTCTCTCCAGATCCATTCAAGGACTCAGTTAAGGATTTGCACCTCTCATCTCATCCAGGAATGCTTGCCAATCACCAACACAAACAAATTCTTCCACTAAGGTGTGTATTCCTCTTGTTCAGTCAGTATAGATCCCACCCCAATCCCTAAGATATGACCAGTATAGACTTTCCCACAAGACAGATTCCCAGGTCTGTTGGAAGGCAGAAATGAGCCTGCTAAATCCTGCTGGGGAGAGATCCTACCCTGCTCCTAACACCACAGAGACAAGATTAGGGATAGTAAATGCCCAGAAGACAGAAAAGGCTACAGATGGCAGAGTGGCTCTCACGTTCTTTATTACCGAGGGCCTCTTAGGTTAAACCCCAGTTTAATATTTATCCACCAAGCCTTATCAAGCAGATCGGTCATCTGTCTGGCTTCATCCTGCAAAGGCACAGCACTGCCCAGCCTCGGGATTGAGATAAACAGGACAGTAATCACACCCATGGGGTTTCACTCAAGCCTTCTGGAATACCTATAAGACCCTATGAGACGGGTCACAGAGGGTACTTCCTGGGAAAAGAGAAAGAAGAGGCACCAGAATCAGGGCAACACCCGAGGAAAATGAGAGCAGGTGACTTGGGCTGTGCCCTCTCCAACTTCTGTGGGGACTCAGTCATGAATCCTCCAGCACTGCTCAGGGGTCACTCCCAGAGCTTCCTAGCCCATGGCTCTTTCAGACACCAGAGAGGTGGGGATGCTATTCCCCTTCTAACTGTGGGGCTCTCTGCATGTCTCCCTGGTGGGAGGGCTGGCATCAGGGAAGCCAGCCCACCACCAGACCACAGACCTCTGCCCTTCAAAGCAAAGGGAAGGACTCACCTCTGCAAGATATAGCACGCAGAATTTCAGGTCCCCAGAAGAGCCTTGAAGAAAACAGAAGGGAAGACATACGTTAGCTGTGGCCGGAGTGTCTCAGCAGCTGGCTCAGGCACAGTCACCAAAGCATTTGGAAAGAGTGCACGGTGCTTTCTCGGAAGCAGAGGCAGAAAAGAGGAGGGCCCGGGCAACAGGGAAGTCTCTGGAGGAAAGCCCACTAGCAAGGAGCCAGGGTGCTGTTCAGCAGCAAGGCATTCGCCTGCTGGTCAGCCTGACCCTCAATGTTGAAATCCCACCCCAAAACAGGAAGCTGGGAGCATCCTCCAGGCATCAAAAAGCACAGGCAGGAGCTGTCAGGTGCTCCCAGCTTCCCCTGTGTGGGCTGTGCAGGGGCCATGGGCTAGGTGGAATCCAGAGTCGGCCTCAGTCCCTCACCTTGGTCTAGGATCTCAAATTTAACAGGCAGCAAGCTGTCTCCCCTGAGAAGACAGCTGTTCCCGCTCCTACCCGATCACCACACCCAGCAGAGTTGCAGGCGGAACAAAGGCTCAGAAGTACCAGGGCATACAGTTAAATCCTCCTGCCAGGGAAGGCATCATGAAGGAAGCCTTTGAGTTAGAACTGGAGACAGGAAGAAATGGCACTGCGAGAGGCAGTCTGGGCAAAGGCGTGGAGTCCCTGAAGCTATCTGTCTCCTAAAGGGAACTGAGTGCAGTAAAGTCCTGCCGCCGCCTCCTCCAGGACACCTGCCCCAACCACCACAGCCAGCCTCAGGACTCAGTGGTCACTTGTTGCAGCCCACACCTAGGATGGTTTGGAACTCCCTGTACTTCACAAGTGACCTCCCGGAATAGGCTGTCAGTACAAGTGTGAGCCGCGGTGTCTCCAGTACTACAGAGCCTGTGCCCCCTGCTGCTCCAAGCACTCCCAAGGAGAAGCCCCACCCTCCCCCCCTACACACCAGGAAGGCAGCCAATCAGCATCCAACCAGGCCCAGCTCCAGCATGTAACTTGCCCCAGGTAGTGAGAATATTACTTTTATTTTTTTTTTAAAGTTTACAGAGACAGATACAGCTTCCATCCACTGGTTCAGGCTCCAAAATGACCCCAGCTGGGCCAGATTAAAGTCTGAAGACTAAAACTATCCAGGTCTCCCACATGAGTGGCAGAGGCCCAAATACTTCTATTGCATTCCCAGGCATAGCAGGGAGCTGGATTGGAAGTGGAGCAGCCAGGAATTGAACTGACTCCTATATAGGATAGTGTGTCATAGGTGGTTGCTTAACAATGCTGGCCCCAAGAACTAAGATGTAAACCTGGGCAGCCTCCAGAGACCTGACCCTAAACCACTACATGCCATCCTTCATTTGCCCATCATGTTAGTGCTCCGCAGTGCCTCTGTCCTATCAAGTCACCAGGCCTAGTGCTGGGCCTAAGGTAGATGCTCTCAACAGGTTGTTGAAGCAAAGAAGTGGTTATAAAACCAAGCCATGTCTTTAGGAGCAGGCAGCAAGATGGAATCAGAGTGTGGGTCAGGCCAACACCCTGAAAAGCTGGGAGTGAGGGCTCTGGTGTGAGTGCAGACTGGGTCCCAGGGCAGCTAGTTCACCAGCAGCTCCCTAGATAAAAATAATCCTGTGCAGGGCAGGGGGTGGGGAGAGGCAGGGCTACCAGCCAAAGCTCAACGTCAACAGCTGGCAAGTTGATGGGGGCTTGCTTTGGGCAGAGGGAGAACCAGTCTTTCCAACTCTCCCCTCGGAGACAGGTATTTGGATGGAGAAATGCCATGATGTTTGAACAAACTGCAGTCTCTGGGATCTGCCGGGTCTGGTGCTGCTGAGGGTGGAACACCAGAAGAGGTGGTTGCTTTCCTGTTAACAGATGCACTGGGTTGCTTGCTGACCTTTCCACAAGCAGACCCTGGTGCCAAGAGACAGCCAACAGGCCTATGGGGGGCAACAGACAGAACGTCTGTTCGAAAAGCTGGCAATGACACAAGAGAACACTCCAGGAGGCCTGAGAAAGCTCAGGAGATGAGCCTCAAGGAGACATGTGGCCAAGGTCAGGGGAACACATGCTGGGACACACTTCCCTGTGCTGGGGAGGCCAGACTGATGCCCTGGCAGAAAGAGACAGACAGCCGGCTCCCTCCTGGCCTGACCACCCTGCATTACTGCAGTTGCTCACTGAGATCTGCTCCCTGTCACAGCTCACGCTGCCAGCACTCTGAGAGACGGATGGAATGGGGGCAGTGCTCAGCACGGCTCAGAGCCACATAAAGAACCAAGGGAGCCACAGCTGTGCAGGAGCGGGTTGTCAGGGCTTGACCCAGCAGGGTCTCTCCGGCTGGCTGGAGGAGAGGACTACGATGTCACACCCCTCCACGTTTTCCTTTCAACTCTCTAAATGCTGGGCCAACAGGGAACCACATGGCCTTTGAGTGTGTCTCATGTCCCACCACGGCAGGCAGGAACATCATCATGGGGAGGGGGCAGGAGCCCTGAAATGACCCTCTGTCACTTCCACAGAGTCCTCTGTGATTGGATCGGAGAGTCCAATCTCCACCACTCACGTGACCCTCTCCTCTTCGATTCTCCAGATCCAAAGACAAGCCCAGCAGGACAAAGTAACTTGACCAAGGCTGGGGTTTGAACTCAGGCGGTGGCCTCCTAAGCCTGTGGAAAACCACAGCCTCACCTCCGCCCCCGCAGCCCCACCATGGGTTTTCCACGAGACCCTGCACTCCAGAGGGGAAGGCATCTCTGACTGGCTCCTTCCCCAGACGCCCACACAGAGCCAACATAGAATGGTCTCAGATTCAAACTCCAAACATTCCTGCGGTGGCGACCTGTGCAGCTAGGTTTTCAATACTGGGTGCCTGGCTCCCCAGGGCGAATGCTGGGCCAAGGATCAAGCCCCCATCAACTTGCCAGCTGTTAATGTTAAGCTTTGGCTGGTAGCCCTGCCCCTCCCCACCCCCCGCCCCGCACAGGATTATTTTTATCTAGGGAGCTGCTGGTGAACTAGCTGCCCTGGGACCCAGTCTGCACTCACACCAGGGCCCTCACTCCCAGCTTTTCAGGGTGTTGGCCTGACCCACACTCTCTGATTCCATCTTGCTGCCTGCTCCTTAAGACTAGAGCCTGTCAGGAAGACACGCTGTGGGCGTGATGTTGCCACCTGGGAGGCAGAGATACAAAGAGAAACAAAGCCAGCAGGTGGGCAGCGGGGGCAGGAAGAGGCCACAGTGGGCCCGGCCAGCAGGAGAGGCCCTGACTGTGAGCACCAGCTCTCTGCCTGTTCCTATCCCATTCCCCGCAGGCCAGCTGAAGGCTGGGCAGGAGGAGGGCAGGCAGAATTTCAGTGATCTCCCAGAAGGAAGTGTGCACCCCCCCCCTCCGACAACCATCTCACCCCTTTCTATTCTGGGCTGTGACAGCATTTCCCTGTGGTCATTCATTCACTCGTGCAACAAATGTTCATGGAGCACCCATGATGTTCGGTGTCCCGTGCTAGGCCTGGCTGTGTGCATGGCCTCAGGAGTTAAAGATTCTTCAGATGTTATACAGGGAGTCCTTGGTCCCTGGGGCAGAGCGGCTCCCTGCTCCCAGGGACCAGTCCTGAGCCAGTGCCAACTACCAGCAGGTCAGGCCAGAACCATCCTTGCGCACCATGACATTCATGTCAGATTTCAAAGAGACAAACCAGAAACCAGTTTCCTGCCATGAGCAATGTTAATGAGACAATCCTGCTCACAGGGAGTCCAGCTGAGGCCTCTTTCCCAGCTTCTAAAGCCTGACTCAGGCCCTTGCTGCTATGGTGAATCTCCAGGGCCTGGGGAAGCAGCCAGGAAACTGAGCACCAGACTCAGGACAATGAGTTCTGAGGTTTCAACTACGGCTGCAGGAGGAAGCCCTGGACTTCCGGGAACCTCGGAACCTACAAGCTGGCCTTGGGGGAGGGGTGGGTGAAAGTTTCAGAGATGGCTGGGACCTGCCTTAAGCATTGCTGTGTCCTTAATGCTTTCTTCTCAGCAGCCCCAGGGATTCCTGAAGATCACCTGAAGCCCGTTCAGAGCAGGAGCACACAGCTCTCCCACATCACCCCAACAGGCTCCACTGGCCTTCTTTCTCAGCTCTGACATGGACAAGTGTGGCCAGCGCCAGCCCTGCTCAAGTGGGCCCACCAAGGGCAGGGCGAGGATGTGGTCTCTAGCCCGAGGACACTGCACATGCAGGCAGCCGGCCATGGTCACCCTCAGCTCAGCATTGCGATTAACAGTTGCATCCCTTCCCTCAACTTTAAGTCTTGGATCTTGGAGCTCTGGGAGGGAATATCCAAACAGGTCCTAGTCTGGGCCTGGGCAGTGAAGACAGGAAGGTACAGACACTGCTGGGCTCTTGGGGGTCGGGGGGGAGTTCTCTGTTATCTTTCGGGGGTTTTGTCTGGGAGGTGTCAGAGCTGGCCCCAACCTTCTTTCCCCATCAGACAAGCTTAAGCCTGGAAGAGGGAAGGAGCAAGGGTGGCTGTCTGGCTGCTCAGCAGCAAGGCCAAGGCCAGACTTCCCACCCAATGGCTGCTGCAGGTCTGCCACTGCCCTCTCCATTCCCCAGCCTTCCCTTCCACCTGGAAATGCAGCCTTCTTTCCCCTCCCTTCTTTACAGCAGGAAGCAAACAGTTCTGGACTTGGGCCCATACCTGGCAGAGGGCCCAGACCCTTGCACAGAGCAAAGGTCCAGCTTTTGGAGTGACACACTATCCATGTCCCCTGACCCCCAGGCAGTGCTCCTCACATTTTGGGCTAGGCTATATGAGCTGGGGACAGGGAGCTGGCAGCAGAGCTGATACTTTGTACCTGGGCACAAACGTACATGTAGGGGGAGAGGGGAGAGAAGAGCATGGAGGGAGCTGGGTGCCAGACAGCAGCAGGTGAGCACCCAAATGGCCAAGGGCAGAGTTGCTGGACCTCAAGCCTGTCTCCCTCTGGCTGGTCCAGGGGAGCTTCCCAGGATAGCAACTCAGGGGACTGCTTGTCTTTACTGCCCCACAGCCAGGTGAGCCTGCCTGCCTGCCTGTCAGGAGCCACCCTTGTCAGTGGTGCGGCAGGAGAAAGCCAGAGCCGGAGAAGGAAAAGTTCAGAGCCCCTTCCTGCCTTCCTGTGCAGAGACGGTGAGAGCTGTTCTCCCACAGACTGCTTCCAGGGAAGGAGTGGCCGGCCCTGTGTGCAGTGTGGCTTTGCAAACAGTCAGGAAGTTTTCCCAGAGCAAAACCCGCCCAAGCAGAATTCTTTTGCTAGGTCACATTTTCCTCCCTGCCTCTGTCCCCCTGAGCTCAAACAGGTCTGTTGTTGTTTTTATAATCTGGGAGAGGAAATAGAGCCCTTTGCAGCGGAGACCTCAGGCGCCAAACCAAGCCACGCCACAGATACTCGCAGCTGGTTTCCCGACCAGCCAGCTTGAAGTGAGGAGATGTGATGCAAAGTTAGGGCTAGCAATTCACGCCACACTCCCACAAGCCACACAGCTGGAGGCAGAAGGGGCAATAGGCCCCTTCCACAAGATGATTGGCAACAAGCACTTATTGGGCACCCTTGGGGGGGCCAGCCCTTTGGATATATGCCCTTATTGGATCTTCACAATCTTCTAAGATGCTATTGTAAATCCCCCACTCACACAGAGGAAACAGAGAGGCTAAGTCACTTGCCTCCAAGGTCATCTGTTCATGAGAGGCTGGGTTAAGATACGGGCACAGGTCTGTGTGAGGACAAAGTTCTTCCCACGCACTTGCTCCGGAGGATAAACATGTCCCTGGAAAGCTCAGGGCACAGCCTAGAATGGAATGCCAGTGCTGAGCCAGCCACTTGCAGCCTGTTCCCAGAGGGGCACCTCTCACCTTCCTGCAGCTTCACGCTCTGGAGGTAGAGGGGGTTCCTCAGGACGTTGCAGCGACCTGGCTCGTCCTCCTTCGTGAAGAGCAGCAGGTCCGAGTAGGCAAACAGGGTCACCTGTGCCGGGAGACGACAAACAGAACTGATTGCTCCGACTGTGCCCTGGACACGGGAACCACAGCCCCCCGGACAGTAACAGAGGGCATGCCTTGGCATCTGGGGCAGAACAAGAGCAACCCGGATCTGTGCAAAGAGCTGCCTGCAGTGGAGACAGCCCCCCACAACCGCCACTTTCCTACGTTTCCACTCCTCAGAGTAGGAGAAATGGAACAGGGCACAAAGAGGGACTTTCGTGCCCCATGGCAGACCTACCCTGAAGGTTCCTCTGGAGTACAAGGTCCCCAGCCCACCTCTGTGATCAAATGACTACCTCCTGCTGGGTCCTAGGTCCTTCTCGCCAAAGTCTTCTGGAAACTCAAGTCAGGCATCGTGCACAGGGAGGTTCTATTTCCAAAGCCCTTGTGAAAAACTCTAGCTGCATTCATCAGAAATCTGTTCAAGCAAAAGCCAGTTCCTCATCCTCCACTATAGATATGTACATGCCTTTTATCTCCTTTATGTATTTTTTGCTCCAAAAAAAAAAAAACAAAGCAGAAGACTATTTTTAGACATTGTAGGTAAACCAACAGGCACGCCCAGCATATTTCTAGGCTAAAAAAAAAAAAATCCACTTGATCCCCTAATGCCACTGAGGATTACACTGTTCTTTGTTGTGTAAATCCTACCATGGCCTTTCAGCAAAAGCAATAAAATCCAATTTTAGATTCCCCCAAAGAAAACAAAATATTAATTATTTGAACTCCTATTTGGGATGTAAAAACCTGACACTCCATCTCTTATTTAGTAAAACGAATTGCCAGAGTACTCGGGACATACGCACGGGGACAGCGAGAGTATGTTGGATTATTGCTTAAGTGTAAGGAGTCAACATGCGGACATTTAGCTATAAAATTGTGAAAGACGACCCCAAAGTTCACTTGTAAGACCCTATCCTGCAAGAACAAATGAATGTGTGGATAGCAATATGCAAGGACGTTCTTGACAATACTCTGGCATTTGAAAGATGAAAACAATGTAAAAAGAGGACAGATAAAATAAGTTATGTCACCTTCATGTGGCAGAACTGTTATGACTATTAAGAGAATAAAGTAGAACTCTGTAGGCAAAAATAGAAATCTATCAGAAAATAGTACATGGTGCAGAAATACCTAGAGTGTGATCCACTTTTGTAAAACAAAACCATAAATCTCTCTAGTAAATTATTTTTAATTAACTATATTTAGTTTAATTTGTAAGGCAGAGAGATATAGACAGGCCGAGAGATCTTCTAACTTTCATTTCACTACTCAAATATCCACATTGGCCAGGCGTGGGCCAGGAAGACGTCAAGAGACCAGAGGTCAGTCTGGGTTGCCTGTAAGAGTAGTATGTACGCAAGTACTTGAACCATCACATGCTGCCTTCCAGGATGCATCAGCAGGATTTGAACTCTGGCACTCCAATGTGGGATGTGGGTTTCTCAAGGAGCATTTTAATCTAGGCACCTCACCCCTACAGATCTTTATTTAAAATTTTTTTTTATTTTTACTTGAAAGACAGATTTATATAGAGAAAAAGAAAGACATATCTTTCATTTGCTGATTCACTCCCCAAAAGATTACAATGGCCAGAGCTATACCAGTCTGAAACAAGGATCCAGGAGCTTCTTTCAGATCTCCCGCATGGCTGCAGGGGCCTAAGGACTTAGGCCATCCTCTGTTGATTTCCCAGTATATTTGCAGTGAGCTGTGTTGGAAGTGGAGCAGCCAGGACTCAAACAGTTGTCTACACGAGATGTATTCACCAAAGGTGGAGGCTTAACCTATAAATACACCATGGCATTGGCCTCTCTAAGGATCCGAGAATACTCATTACACTCCTTATGCTCTGGGAGAGTGGGATTTTACTTTACACATTTGTGCTCAATTTCCATTGTTTTGCAATGAGACTGTTATTATTGTAATTTCAAAATATCTTATATTCCAAGAACCACTTGGCTTTCTGAAAGTAACATAAGGGCATAGGAAATCTGGGCCACACACACAATAGGGGACAGATGTCATCAAGCTAGAGGTTGGCAGTAGCTCTGGCTTCTCCAGTGGAGCCCAATCATGGAGGATGCAGAGCCATGGGTTGATAGGGACCGCACCATGGAGGACTGGATAGATCAGAGAGGCTGAGTGGCCTATCCATGGCTCCTCAGCCTGGGCTGGCAGACCCTGTAATTATCCTGCTTTTGAGCATCAAAGAATCCAAAAAGGGATTCCAAACAGAACAAAAGGAGACAAAACAATATGAAAGTAGTTAAAGGAAGGGGGAAAAACAAGAGATAAGAGTTCATAAGCATGTGAGGGGTTGGCTGTCTGAGGCATGAACTTCAAAGTGCAAGCTAAGCAACAAGGCTCTAAATTAGTTACAACCCTCACAAGGGCAATCCGGCAGTCATCTCTGGACCCTTAGGAAAGCCAACAGAGGAAGCACTGGAGAAGACAACCAGCGTAGGCAAAAGATGGCCCAGACCCAGGAAAGGCTGGATGGAAGGAGCCTAGGCCAGGTGAAAACAGCCCCAGGCCATGCTGGGCCACAGAGTCCCAGAGTTGAGAATATGGTCTAGACAGGAAGTGATTAAGGCATGAATGAAAAATTTCCCCAAAGGGTCAGGTCAGGGAAAGGACAGAACTGGCACACAGCTGCAGGCAAGGCAGAGGGCAAACATGCCAGGGAGGGCATGTGGCCCCCCTCCCACGTCACCAGCATCCTGCTGGCTTGACTCCAGCCGCATTCACAGCAGCCCACAGCAGAGTAATGCAATCTCCACGGTCCAGTTACCTGCTAGCTCCCCTGCCCAGTCCATGGCAGTCACAGGTGTCTTCACATTTACTCCAACGATGCACCTGTTTTCCCAAAGGGCCAGGCATTGCTGGGATCGCCTGGTTGCCAAAATCGTCACAAACTGGGAGGTGATTTCTCCTAAGCTGCCATAACTATACCTTCGCCTGGGAATCCAGCCTAAGGGCAGGGTTTGCAGAAAAAAACCTTGGTGCCTTGGTTAATGGGTAAGCTGAAGGAGTCAGGATGTAATGTAAGGGTGTGTCTGCCTTGTGCTTCACAATATTCCTGGAACCTGGCTCCATGGCACATGCGCAGTAATTATAGTTGGAAGGTTTCAATGAGGCTGCTCTGAAGTGCTCGTTGGTCCGATCTCAGGACACATTAAGGGTGTGATTTTTAGTGCAGGGTGTGATAAGGGCAGTTCATGGTGTGGGACTGGATCAGCTCACAGACATTAACAAATCTGAGCCTGCTGAGAGAAGAGATAAGACAAAGAAGCAAGGGAAAAGAATAATCCAGAAAGATACTCATTGTGCATAAAGATACTTTCTACAATTTCAAGCTTCCATTCCCCAGGAATGCTTCCCGTACAAATTCAAAAGCTGACCAAGAACTCTGTAGCTGCAAAGTTACAGGGAAGCAACTGGAAGAAACCATTCTGGAGGGCCCAGCCAACACAGAGGCTCAATGGATTTATCCAAATCTTTGTTGAGTCGGTTTGTATTCTTGGCCTCCATAACGTAATAAGGCACCAAGGGTCACATCCTTAACTACTGTCACAGTGCAAGAGGAAGGAATGTATTTTACTTGTTAAATTGCTTGCTTCGGGTCTCGTGCAATAGCCAAGTGGCTACAATCCTCGCCTTGCATCCTCCAGGATCCCATGTGGGCACCAGTTCGTATCCCAACTGCTCCACTTTCCATCCAGCTTCTTGCTTGTGGCCTGGGAAAGCAGTCAAGGATGGCCCAAAGCCTGGGACCCTGCATCTGTGTGGGAGACCTGGAAGAAGCTCCTGGCTCCTGACTTCGGATCGGCTCAGCTCCGGCCGTTGTGGCCACTTGGGGAGTGAACCAGCAGACGGAAGATCTTTGTCTCTCCTCCTCTCTGTAAATCTGACTTTCCAATGAAAATAAATAAATCTATTTAAAAGATCGCTTCCTTCAATCTTCAGGGGGGTGGGTGGATGTTCTGAGTTTTAAGGCTCCAAAGGTGTATAAGGCAAAGGTTCCTCTGAATGGCTTGAGCTTGGACTAATTGGCTCGTTTTTAAAGTCCCGCCAGAGGCAGAATGAGATCCCAGGAAGCAGTGTTGAGCCACAGACTGGGATAGGAATTCCTGGCTCCAGCCTTCCCTAGCCTTGAAACATACAGTTTCCAGGGAATCTCATTGCAGCCTCAGTTTCCACAACCACAGAGTGGGAACACTCAACTTATGGGATCTACTTCCCTGTGTGTCTACAGGGAAGACACACTAGAACAACTCCAATAGGCTAGAGGTCAGCCCTGTAGCACAATGGATTGAGTTGATACTTGCCACACCATCCTGTATCAGAGTGCTGGTTTGAGTCCCCACTGCTCTGCTTCCCATCAAACTCCCTGCAAATGCTCCTGTCTGACAAAACAGCAAAAGATGGCCTAAGTCCTTGGGCCCCAGCCACCTGTGTGGGAGACTCAGATGGAGATCCAGGCTGCTGCCTTCAGTCTGGCCCAGTGCCAGTTGCTCTAGTCATTTGGAAAGTGAGTCAGCAGATGGAAGATCTCTTTCTGTTCCCTACCCGTCCCCAATACCTCTCTCCGGGATTCTGCCTTTCAAATAAACAAACAAGGCATAAAAAATTTTTGCAGGTTTGAAGGTAAGCAAAATGTAAAAGAGAAAATCTAGACATGTGTAAGGGTATATCAGAATGGAATTCAAACATAATTAAAAGATAAGTTTATTTCATGTGTAGCCTTTATAAAACATGTATTTTTCTTCAACCTTTTGAAGAGCTCTCAGAAGCATGGAATCCAGAACATTTTAGCAGAACACATTTAGCTTTTAATTTCACTTTCCGCGAACTTTTTTCATAATATCCTTTCATTATTTTTATTTTTTCAGATTCATTTCTCTATTAGTTGAAAGGTATATTTACAGAGAGAAACATACTCTATTTACTGGTTCACTATCAAAATGGTCCCAATAGCCATGATTGGGCCAGACCAAAGTCAAGAACCAGTAGCTTCCTCTAGGTCTCCCATGTTGATACAGTGGCCTAACCACTTGGGCTTTCTTCTACTGTCTTCCCAGGCATAGTACAAGGGAGTTCAATAGAAAGTAGAGCAGCTAGAACCCAAACCGATACTCAAGTGGAATGTTGCATTAGTGTGCAGCGCCTTTATCCACCACACCACAATGCTGGCTCCTTCCTTGTCTACGTTTTGAAGTGGCTGCCCTTTCCAACTGCCTTCCTCTCGCCCTCATGATTTTATGCCTCACCCTCTGACCCTTGCACTCCTGATACAACCACATGCATTTTCATCACACACAGCTCCAAGGGACTCTTGGTTGCTAAAACCTAGCTCCAACCCCTGACGAGCAAGGCAGTTCAGAGGAGATGCTCAGAAAGCTGGCAAACAACACCAGTGTGGCAGAAATGAGTGTGCAGCTTCCTCAGGGAGCTCCCTGACAAAAACCATGCCCGTTTGAAACCTCTGAACTCTGGTCTGCCTGATTAGATAACACAATGGCTTTTGCGCAAACACAGTGCCCCAAGATGCTTAAGCTGGTAAGTCAGCCAACCTCAGATTCTGCTCTCGCTGCCTTGAACACACACACACATATCCACTGCAAAGATGGGAAGACGGAGGGAGTGGGAAGAAATCATATTGTGAGAATGGTAGCAGAGCTGGGGTAAATCTGGGCTTCCTGCTTCCGTATTTTCTGAGCTGTCCACTACCCCAGGCCACGCTTGAACTTGGCAAAGCCAGTTCTGCATGAGGACATAACTGCCAGAATCCCTCTACCCTCACCTGGCCACATTCCAGGTCACCCATTTTTCTTACCAAACAGCTCAAAATGCAGGGGCTGAGCTTTTCCGGGGGCACTTGGGGGATTGTGTGGGTAAGTGAGCTTCTACAACGAGCACTAAGCAGGCTGAGCATCCAGGAAGCACGGCCCCACCCCCACCCCCAAGCCCCATTGGTCTGGCTAGGAGAAATCATGGACTCATATCAGCAGGGGATTTGGGATTTGGGTTAATAGAGAATCAGAAAACTTGCATCATCAACATGTCCCTAAAACATCTTTCTGGCTAACTGCTTTCGTCTTCTCCCCTCCAAAGCCACTCATCACAGTGTGGCACAGGTGTGTGCACCTTTCAGGAAGCAGGGACTAACTAGGGGCTAGGGAGACCTCCCAACCAGCCAAGGACTGAACAGCTCTGACAGGAGCTGAGCTCACCATCACCAAAAATATATGAGAAAGAGCAGGTTAGCCATTTGGTAAGGGTGAGGCAGGGGATGGGGGACAGGGAGACTCGCCAGGCCTCCTATAGCCTGAGATGGTTCAATTGCAAAACTGTCAGGAAGGGAGAAGGGTGAGAGGCCCCAAAGTCAGCCTCCCCAGGCAAACGAGTGTGAGTCTTACCTGAGCAGCCTTGTTCCTCCCCTCGTACAATAGGAGTTCCTCCGACAGCAGAAGTGTCCGGGCTGGGTTGCAGAGATCTAGAGGCTGAAAGCAAGACAAGGCCTGAGCCGAGTGGGTTCAGAGAGCCTGGCAGGGCTGAGGCAGGGCAGGGTGGTGACCTGCCAAGTCCCAATCCTGGAGAGGCCTCTGACAGCCAGAGAGGGGACTGTCAGCCAGCGGCCCACAGACCCACGTGTCCCCTGCCCCCTCAAATGCAAGCTGGAAACGGAAGGACATGCTCCAGTCTGTTGTGGAACTGTGGCTACCACCTTCCCCACCAACACTCACGTGACAGCCACACTTTCAGGCAGGAAGTCACCGGCTGAGGCCCTCTGCAGACCTCCTCTGAACTCCCTGCTTCCTGACACTGAGTTCCCAGTCTCCCCTCCACCTCTACTTCTCCATCATCTTATTCTTGCCTCCCAGGCAGGTCCCAGCCATCAGACCCTAGAAGTATCCTGGGTACCACATGCCAAGAGATTTGGTCACTTGGGTCCCTTCCAGGCCAGGCCCTGTTCTGTATTCATTACCCACTTGAGCCACGTAACTCCTTCTCAGCCACCAGTTCCCAGGTGACCAAGTCTCCCCCAAACCTCTCACCTGCCTCCCATTTGGCCCCGGAAGGAGCTCCCTAAGTCCTGAGTTCCCTGGCAGGCCCTGCTCTACCCAGCAGACCAGGGCCTTGTGGACATCTATTTATAACATGCCTTGCAAGGGCTGGAAGGAAGATAATGAAACAAACAGCAAGTGCACGCAACAACCCAAATGAAGCTCATAAATCACATGAAGCACGAGTAGCAGCAGCTAAAAACCAGACATGGGATGGTTTTATTAAACCATATTTAGCAAGAGGCCACACCAAATGTATGTGAAGCATATGTCAATAGCCAACAAAAGAAAAACAAGGAGATGTTGGCCGTCAGGACAGCGAAGGACACAGGATAAGCAGCAGAGACACACAGGCTTCTAAAATGGCAGTCCCAGTCTATCTCCTCATCTTAGCAGACACCTTACTCATCAGATCAGACATTTAAGCGTCAGACATCATTTTTAGCTTTTGTATTTCACAATTTTAAAAGTTTAACTTTGAAAAACTAACTTTTAATTGTTTATTTAAAAAAAAAAAAGAAGCTTGGGTGACACTCAACTGGCTAATCCTCCACCTCCTGTATGGGTGTCAGTTAGTGTCTCAGTTGCTCCACTTCCAATCCAGCTCCCTGCTGGTGGCCTGAGAAAGCAGTAGAGAATGGCCCACAACCTTGTGACCCTGAACCTACCTGGGAGACCTGGAAAAAGCTCCTGGCTCCAGGCTTCAGATCAGCCCAGCTTGGGCCACAGCGACCAATTCAGGAATGAACCAGCAAATGAAAACTCTTTCTCTCTGCCTCTCCTTCTCTCTATAAATCTACCTTTCCAATACAAATAACTAAATCTTCTTTAAAAATCAAAAACAAAATAAAATAATAGCTTCCTGGGAGGGCAAGGCCGTTATGTTACATCCTAAGAAAGAGAGGCAACCCAGAGACTGGTAGAAGCCAGGCTGTGCCCAGAAAGCTGTGCAAGAGATGCATTTGTGTCCCAGTGATGCATCCAACAAACCACAGTGTGAGTTCTAGATGCACAGGACAAATGACAGGCCCTGGGGTAGGCAGCTGCCAAGACCAGAGTAGGAAGCATGGTGAGAAATGAAGCTGTTGGGACTGCATCCTCTTGGAGGTGCTGAAAAGAGGCTAAACGAATAGAATCTTCCCAAACAAGGCTGTGATCAAGTGTGTAAAAAGCCTTTAAGGATGTTTATGACCAATGACCCAGCCATGTGGCTTCTAGGAATACTCTTCCAAAGAAAATAATCAGAGGTAATGCATGTGCAAGGATTTTCATCAGAGAGTTATCCACAATAGACGAAGGATAGACACTCAGAAGTGTCTGAATGGAGAACTCATGAAATGAAGGCGGCACAGCCATAGCACGGAAGAATGTGCAGCCAGCAGAAAACAACCCAAGGAATGATGTGCAGCCTTAGCAGGGTTCATGCTTTAATGTGTGTATTAACAGGGCAACAGGATATGAAATGTAATCTGTTCGGTTCTTTTAAATGTGTATTTGAATACAGAAGAGACACCTACTGTTACCACTAGTTTTACCAGAATGACAGAGTAGTAATGAGAAGGAGAAGGAAACAGGGAGGAAGAGAAAGAAAAATGCTCTGGAAAGCTCTGGGCCACCAGGGCGCACTGGCACACAGGTTTGCTGAGATCAAGGAGACCTGATAAGAGATCAGACCTCTGGGCTCTCCCTGGACCATTTCCAAACAAGAAACAGTTGCAGGCAGACAGCAGGACCCTGTCAAGCAAGCACTGCACATCACCCAGACTGGCAAGCAGGCACTGCACATCATCCAGATGGTGACAGTACCTGCCTACCTTCCTTACCCCTCACATTTCCCCATGCATCCTTCTGGAACTCTCTGCTCCCTCGGAGAAACCCCAGGACACTGAGCATCTGAAGCCATTTCTCCTCTCCAAGGGGAGCTTGGGGCTAGCTACAGGCTTACCTGAACAAAGACAGGGAACACCAGGACCTTGGGGGCCAGGGTGACGTAGGTGCCGTAGCTGGAGTGCGGGACATGTGGCCTCAGGACCGGGCAGTTCTGATAGTTTCCATGGCCCTTCATGGTCTGCACTGTCTTCATCAGCCGGGACTTCTTCCCCAGGCCTGTGGAGGACTTTGCTTTGCTAGGATTGCCTGATTCTGTGAAACAGAGGGGGTTGGAATCATGAGGTAACTTATCACCCTTGCAACGCTCTGTAGGAGCTGGGAATGGGGACTACTCCTGTTTCCTGAGCATCTACTTTGTGTCAGACCCCATGGAAAGTGCTGAGACTGTACAGAGGCTCCAGGCAGGTCTCAGGCCTCCAGGAATTGTTCCACATTCTAGTGAGAAACATAGGCAAGTAAACAGAGAACTCCAGGCAGGGTCAGAGCTGGGACCCACTGACTGTGACAGAGGCATCAGTGAGCCAAGCCAGGAATCAGACCTGTCAGTGTGTGCCCTCTCCCCCGACCTCCATACAAATCAAGAAACTGCTCATATTTGGGGGGAAAAAATCCTGATCTTACCTCTCTGGGTCCATAGGCCCTATAGACCAGTCAATGGCAGGAATACCGCTGGCCCTTGTACCATCCCCCATCCCCACTACTCCCCACACAGGTGGCTCTGCTGTCTTGGCCACAGACTGGGCTCTGTATTGGAAGCAGAGACAATGGGCTTCCCCACAACTATCAGAGCCTGTCCTTCACTAAACAAGGGTGCTGGAGGAACCTGGCTCACCCTGGCCAATCCCAAATCAGGAACAAGTGGTCCTTGCTGCCCCAGTTCCCAGGCAAGAGCACAAGCTCTGAGGTCAGATGGCCACGTGCAAATCCTGTTTCCCCAACACTGGGGTGCTGTGGGGAGTAAACGAGATGCTTCCCTAGAACTACAGTGCCTGTGTGGGCAGTAAAAATTCACTCCTAACACGTGCTTGTGATTCTTTCACTCAGAAAAGCCAAGATCAGAAATGAGGTATCCCACAGGATTCTGGGAGTCTCAGGCTTCATGGTGCCTGGGAGATACTTCAGCTTGGTCAGCAACTCCTCAACTCACAGATGATTCAAACCATAAAGAGGGAACAAGGGACAGAGAGAGAAGCAAGGTCACCTTCAGGAAAGAGAGTCCCAGTTTGAGGGCTTGGGGGTTCTCTTCAAGGGAACTTGTGAACACACGACTGAGCCCACCAGAGGTCTGTGTATCTCCCGAGCCTCCTCCTGCCACCCCCAGCCCAGGCAGCTATCAGGTAAACAAGTGGCTCTGTACATCTCAGGGGAGCCCCCCACCAACGCATGGCCTATAACCCTAAGGAGAAAAACGTAGTTCAAAGGGTTTCACAATCGCTCCCTCCTCCCACCTGGTGCCCATTCTTACCAACAAGATGAGGAAAACAAGCTTAAGGCCCCCAGTAAGAGACCACCGATCACAGTCAAACCTGGGGGCCAGCACTCAAACTGTGATCACTCAAACCACTTCCTGCCCCTTCTGAGAGCCACCCAGACAAGAGCAGGAAGCCTGGCTGGGGCAGAAGCAAGGAAGAGACCCCACAGCTCCCTGCCTGGGTTGGCCCCAGAGTGGACTGTGCTGCCAGGTCCTCTGCAGAGAAGCCCTCCCAGGTGTCAAGATCTGGGCTGGTTCAGGGCAAGGACACTGACTTCCTCAGTCAGGGGCTGGCTGAGCAGCCCGGAGCAGGCTGTCGCCCCTGCAGTCGGAGCTTGCTCCACTACCAAGTGGAGCTCACATACATGCTGCCCCTAGAGCCCATAGGAAGCTCGCATGAGGGACCTGATGGGAAAGATCTAGTCAAGTGGGCCTGAGTGTGAATGGGTAAGACATTACTGCAAAGCCCATCATTGGGTAACCAACTCCTCGGGTCGAGACACAGACGAAATTAAGGCTGAGCCTCACACCATGCAAGGCACTGGGGCAAAACTAAAGAAAGGTATCATTGGCAGGAGCCAAATCCTGGGCCTTAGCCCCCTGTTTCAGACTTAAAAGAATTCATATCGTTGCTGCCACAGTCCAGCTGCCTAGGGCTATCACAGAATCTTCACCTTGAGTTTGTGACTTCCACAAAGTCATTTGGCCAGCAAGTGACACAAAGATGGACCATCCCATGTGGCAGTTAAGTTCATCTCCACAACCCTAAGAAATAATAAGTGGGCCTGGTCCTGCCAACCTAGCCTTAAAGTATGCTTTTCTTAGAGCAATCCCAGATTGCAACCCAGCTACTGAGTTCTGTGACCTCTTTTACTTTCTACTTGTGACCTCTAAGGATATCTGGCCCAAACCCTGATAACACCCCCTGCTCCTCTAACACCTGCTTCACTGGGCAAAAACAGTTGGGAGGTGGCTTTGGCCATAGCTTCCAAGGCAAGCCCCAGCAGCCATCCCACCATGTCAGGGATGAATCTGAGGCTAGGCTGCCTCCATAGGGCAGGGGACAATACCAAGGGTACCAGGAACCCTGGGAAACTTGTGAACCACAGAAAGGCAGGTGCTCCTGGCCCCAGAAGGACGTCAGACCCTGGTCTACTCAGAATGACTCTACCCTCCCTTCTGAAAGGCAATCTGCAGCCCAGCTCAGGGGAAGCAGGCACCAAAAAGCTGCTCTCTGGTGATATCCTTAACCTCTACACAACCCCAAGTGTGTGAAGGCAGCCTTGTACCATGAATTTCACCCCTCCCTCTGAACCCTACAACTGGGAACTATGAAAGTTTGCACCCTGGAAAATAGCATAAATATGCTTGTGTAGCAAAGGATTATTGTTATGAAGAATGCATGAAGTAAAATCAAGATCCTAATGCAAGATATTCAGAAAGTCCCTGTTGTTACTGATATCCTCATCTTTTCCCTACTTGTCCTTTTCCCCAACAGCATATCTGACTGTGTCCTTCTTGGTTCACCAAGTATTAGATTCTCAGGGTGCAGAATGAAAACAAGCATGCAGAACTGGGAGCACTTCAGGGACTCAGAGACATCCCCAGGCACAGAGGGACTCAATCCCTGACCACCTAGTATGTACAAACTGCAGGTAACACTCCCAGCCTTCTCTCTTCCTCTGTCACCCAGCTTTAAGCCCTTAGAGGTAACTAGAATGTTTCTCCTTTGGTCAGTCATTCCACCAGAATTCTACCGAGCATTTGTTGTCTGCCATGCCCTAGGTACAACACTGGACACACAGGCCCAAGCCCTGCCCTTAATGAAGTCACCACTTAGCAGCGGCACCTCCACTCAAACCTAATGTGCTGACTAAAAGCTTTTTAAAAACTCATTGTTGATTCACTGTCAAATTCCTCCCAGGTGGAATGAAGATCCATTTCCTATAGACCAGACCAAATGCTCTAGAGAGAAAGAAGGCACCTTCCATCAGTGCCTGAGCCTCATGGGGTCGGAGCTCTCCAACAGGTGCAAGGAGGGCCTAAAACAAGATGCAGCCAACTCCATCACTAAAACTGACAGCTGAGAGGCAGGTGTCCGATGCAATGGTGGTGAAGACGCCACTTGGGATGCCCATGTCCCATGTCAGAGTGCCTGCTTCAGCTTAGCTCTGTTACCAATCCAGCTTCCTACAGATATGCACCCTTGGATGTCTGTACGGATGTGCCAGACTTGGACCGAGTTCTGGGCTCCTGGTTTGCTCTGGCTGCTGTGCTGTAGCATTTGGCGAGTGAAGCAGCAGGTAGAAGCTATTTCTCTCTGTGTGTCTTTCACAGAGAGTGAAAATAGATAAATAAACATATTCTAAAAGATTGAAATCTCAAGTTTCCTGGGAGAAGGAGCAAGGTTGTGAGTTTTTTGGGGTCTTCTTGTTTGTTTGTTTTTAAAAATGATTTCTTTTATGTACTTGAAAGGTAGGAGAGAGAGAGAGATTGATTTTCCATTTGCTGCCTCATTCCCCAAATGGCCATAAAGAAAGGGCCAGGGCTGGACTAGCTCAAAACAAGGAGCCAGGAGCTTCCTCCAGACCTCCCCTACACAAGTGCAGGAGCCCAAGCACCAGGGTCCATTTTCTGCTGCCTTCCTAGGCACACTAGTAGGGGGCTGGATCAGAAATGGAGCAACCAAAATTCAAACTGGCACACATATGGGATGCTGGCATTGCAGACAAAGGCCTTACCCACTGGGCCACAATGCCAGTCCCAACATACAGGTTTGAGCCCAGCATCTGGATTCAAAGGCCAGAGAAGAATCCACCAAGTAGCAGACACAGCTGCACACTTCAAATGTGGATGCTCGGTGAGGCCTCTCCACCTACAGGTTTGAGCCCAGCCTGGTTCTCTTTCATCCTCCCAGGAGCAGCAGAGGCTTAGTAAGGGGACATGATTTGCTTGAAGCCACTTTGTTCAAACTCAGAATTCCATGATTCCTTTCTACACAGGCCCAGCCATGCTGCCTACAGCACCTTACACTCTGATCACTCAGTAAAATTAGATGAGGCTCAACCAAGCACCCTAGTCCTGAACACTGTCCCTCACCTCACCCTCTGGTAAGATCTCACCTCTGCTTTCTCAGTTCTGACCTCAGGGGGAAAAAAAGATACACTGCTTCAGAGCATGAGAGAACTTACTAATAAGGAAAGAATCTGGGGACCCAGGACTCTGAGCTCAGAGGAGGAGGCAAGGCCAGCCAAGACACCAAAGGCCTTTGACCTTGAAGGACATGGCCACAGAGAATAGACTCACCTTCTTCTGGAATGGTGTCCTCCTGATACACAGGTCGCAGCAGCTGCAAGGAGGAGACACAAGAACCACCTAAGCCACCAGGAACAGAGCAGCACCTGGGGTACAAAGTGAGCAGCCAGCACATGGCAGGGGAGTGGGGAAGGAAAGATGACAACAGCAGCTCGCACAGCACCAAGGACCAGTGTGTTACAAGTCCTGGAAGGCTTTCTGTGGTGCCAAGTAAGGTCTCAAGCAAGTGCCTGACTTCCTTGGCAGCTGCTAGGACCACAATATATATCACGGAACCTTGAAACAGTAGGTTGGTTGGAACTACTGTGCCCTCAAGGAAGTTGGGAAGATGCCACCTTCCTTACTGCAGGACACCCTCAGAGCCCCAGGAGCTAACAGATGTTGGAAGTCTCCCAGGACAGGAAGAGCAGAGACTCCAAACTTAGTTGACCTCAGGACACATTCCCAGGATGTCTCACGGTACTAATGTTTTGGGGTACTGCACTTCACAGTCCTACCACAAATGCAAGCAGTGTCTGCCTTCACACTTCCAATGACAGGTGCCCAGCAGATCCCAAGATGGCCCATTCCAGCATAGGGAAGTGCAGGCTGTGTGTCACTGGAAATCTTGCACACTGTGTGCCCTCCCTAGTCCTGGAGCTGTGCCTCAACCCATCTCCATTCTCTGCTATGACACCTTCACCAAGACCAGAGCTAGCACCTGCCCTTATCCTCGTTCAACACTCCAACACCCCACAGGCTCCTCACAGCCCGGTTCTGAGTCTTAGGTTCCTTGGCCTCCCATGGTAACCCAAAGCCTTCACCTCCTGCCACCAGCTGTCCATACCTGGCTCCCAGGGTTCAGCGGTGCCAGGATGATGTAGTTTGGGTCTGTGGGGGCAGTGGCACGGGACAGCGCAGGCAGGGTGTGCTGGCCCCTATGCTTGGTCACCTCAGTGTAGCGCTCCCAGCCGCCCAATAGCAGCCCGTCGGAGCTGTCACACACCAGGTGGCAGCTGTGGCGCTGCTCAGGCCGTGCCTGGACTCCATGGGTGCAGTTCTTCTCCCGCTTGTTAGGGGGTGACTGGAGGTCAAGTGCTGACTTGCAGGAGGCACGCCGCAGGACCCCACCATCTGGCCCTGGCTTGATCTGGGGCACCATGCGCCACACAAGCAGGATAATCTCACTGGGGCAGCTCCTGGAAGTTGGGTGTCAGGGAGAGAGTAGTACAGAGAATTTGAGCCTAGGGAAGACCAAAGTCAGCCAGGGCAAGGACCCACAGGTTAGAGAGCAAAGGCAGGGGAAGCAGACCCAGGGAGAAAACTCCAGTGTCGAGGTGGGGGAGGGATTCAATGGCCATTTTAAGCAGAGCCAGCAAAGAGATCTCCTAGGTCAACTCTGACTGCCAGTGGCCGAGAACACTGAGGCCGAGTCCAAGATCAACAGGAAAGAACACTGTGCTCAACCCATGATGTCTGTCATGAACAAGCAGTATTGTAGTAAGAGCAGGCAAGTAACCTCTATGCTGCTCTTATCTAGTTATTCTAAAAGCAAATCAAAACAGGAGGCTTTTGGATTTCATCCCAGAGAGCCCAAAATGTAAAGGGTTCAAGCATTGGAATGGGCAACTATGTACTAAAAGCATTTATAACATCTCCATGCCCTACACAACAACAGGCTTAGCTCACGGGGAGCAGAAGAAAGTAGAAAGCCCAAAATGCTCTGAGTCTGAACCCTCCATTTTCAAGCCAAGAAATGGATTCCCTGAGGAGCAAAGTGAATTGCTCATGTCTGGGCAAGGGCAGGGCAGTCAGAGCAGGGTGGGTGAGGCAGTGTGCCTGGGCTATGGACAGTTGTGGAGGGGGTCTTGGGGTAGAAGGTGACCCATCAGCCCAAAGACCCTGCTGCCTCTGTCACCGGATCTCATGCGCCAGCTCCACACATTTCCAATGTTCCACCGGCCTCTCGTTCAGCTGCAGCACGGTGTCCAGCTGCTGTAGTCCTGCCCGCTCCGCTGGGCCTCCTGTGCAGACAAGGAAAACCCACTGAGGGGCTCCAGAAGCCCAGGAGACCCTGAAAGGGCTTTGGAGTGCTTTGCTTCTACAGGGATGTTGGACAACACCTGCCCTTTTCCTCTGAGTTTCTTTGTGAAATGAAGAGCTGAATGGGGGGAGTGTTGAGGGGAAGCTTTGAAGGGTGGCCCTGGGGTTCCTTATCTTGCCCCTCCTGCCTCAAGTCTCTGCTCCCTGATCACCTTGTGCCACCCAGGCCCCACCCAAGGGCCTCCCATCTCCCTGGGAACCCTGTCCTGCAGACCCTAACCCATGCCTTCAACATGGATTACTGAGCACCAGCCTTCTCTCATTCCTGAACCATCCCCAAACCCTGAGCCCTGGCTTCTGCCCATAAGAGGCACATTGTGTAGGGAAAGGGAAAATAGTTTATTTGCCAAACACAGGAAAGGATGACTGTGTTCAAGTGTTTAGCAGGCTTACAGTTGGATAAAATACCAATTTCAAAATGAGTTAATGAATGACTCTCATTTTCCCATGCAGCCACTCCAGAAAATACAGACTTAGGTGTCGTTCAAACAATTGGGAACCAAAATATAAAAGCATGTTTTCATTTTGATAATTAAAAAAAAGGTGGCATATTTTTATAAACCTCAGCTTCATCTATGGTTAGTTAAAAATATTATCTTTCCACTGTGACAGTCTGGGCATTGCACTCCAGCATGAGCCTCCTTGCACTCCATTCTCTGTGTGTGTGCAAAGCCCAAGTACCTCGCAGGCAATTGCAGCAGGCAACACTCCCTCCCTCCCCAAATGCACATACATCAGGCTCTTACTTACCAGAATCCACGGCCTGGACACGGACTGGAGAGTCACAGCAGATGGTGAAGCCGAAACCGTCCTTCCCCCTAGGGATGGTAATCTAGAACATAGCCCTCCCGGTCAATCCCAGAAGTGTGCCAGGCCGGAAGCCAGGCCCAGCACTCAGAGCAATGGTCCTCTCCAAGAGGACCAGAGCCGAGAAGCAGCCAGTCCACTACCCACATTTTCTTCCTCCTTTGCCACAGCGACCACTGGGGTGTTGGCACAGGGCTAGATCGGTGCTAATGACCATAAGTCATAATCAATGTGATTGCAGCAACTCCCACACTGAGCATACAAGGGAGGGAAACCAGGCTAGAGCTCAATCTAAGGTTCAGAGGAAGAGGCCTGGGGTCCTTGATGTAACCCACAGCCAGGACCTCAAGGCACCCTGGCGTGCCAGATGAGGGCACAAACAGGCTTCCCGGCTAACCTAGCCACTGAACTCACTGTGCTTGCTGAGGCCTGCATAGCAGGTGCATGACTCCCTGCTTTCAGAAGCCCCAGGAAAGGGTGCTGCCACTGGGATATTCTTTTCAAACCAACGCACAACAATTGAACTCCTCCTGTATGCCAGTTTGTGTTTAGGGACAACAGCGGGAGGGTGGTCTTGGCCTCTGGCTTCCATTGCGGGGTGGAGGGGGTGGGACAAGGACATACAAGTCTCCCTAGAGAAGTGCAGGGTGTGATAACCAGCAGAGCAAAGACCTGAGGGCTGTGCTGTGAGGCATCCAGTGGGCTCTGGCTTCGGATGCCACCCTAAGTGCAAGGCAGGGCCATGTACAAGGCCAAGTTAGCCAGAGCAGCCTGGATGCTGTCCACCCAGCAAGCTGCCAGCAAGATCCCACCTAGCACTGATCCCAGTGAGCTGCTAAAGGAGTGTAAGTCAAACAGGCTTTGGAGTGGCAAAGAAACTTGCTGCAAATGGGACTTAAGGTGCCCCAGAGGGGCATAGCCAAAGGTGTCCCAGGCATATTGAGGAAGAATCTGGCTCACAGACCCAGAAACAGTCAGCACTTCAAGGTGGGCATGTGTATTCACCTGCCAGCTGTCCCAATGTTGGTTAGGGTTAGGGTTAGGGTTAGGCGTGAAGAAGGAGAATGAGAGGGGGAGTGCCCGGGGGGACCAGTGTCCCTGGAAGCTGCTGAGGCTCTGCTTCCCACCAGCCCTGGGCCTGGATTCAAAGCGAGTTTGTAAAACAGGAAATCTGACAGACAAGGGGAAGGGGGAGGGGGCAGGAAAATACCCCCATTCCCATAAGAATTCTGGGAAAACACGCAGCCAAGTCAGGAAGAGGGAAAAAAAATGGAAAGAAAGAAAAACAAAGCTGAGGTGGCCATGGCAAAGCTGGAGGAAAGGATAGCCCGGCGTTGCCAGGCCACCTTAGGCTGAGGGACACAACTGGAGCCAGGAGCACTCCATGGGACAGCAGGCATTTGGGGGACCTCACAAGCCACCCCTCACCACAAAACCTCTCTAGAACTTTCCAGTCCTCCTGGCGAACCAGACGGCCATAGTTCCTCTCACCTGGAAAGCAGGCCCAGTACCCCAGGTTCTAGCTTGCCAAGTTTTTGGATGGTGGTAACCCCAAATTTGAGGAAGAGGAGAGTGTGTTTGTGAGATGGTCTCACCTGGGCCCTTGTCCCCCGGAGTTCCCAATGCTATCCAGCTGGGAGCGAGGCAGGGAGGGGAGGCAGGGTCCTGAAGCAAATTCACCTGCTGGCTCAGTGGGAGGGCGTGGGAGGGAGTGGCCTGGCGTGGAGTATGCATCAGTGGTGCAGAGCATTTACAGCGTCTCACACTTGACAGCCTGGGCTGCACTGCGGAACTCAGGGCAATGTGGCTTTACTCAACCCTTTTTGCAGAGAGGGACCCTAAAGCCTGGATGAGGCAACACTCAGGCTCTCCTCGGCCCCCTCTGTGACCTCGGGCCTCAAGCCAGATCCTGACTCCGGGACGTCTTGTCACAGGCTGTGACTCCTGTCACAGGCTGTCTTTCCTGGGGGTGGTTCTTGCTCTTTCCTGTTCAAGCAGGAATGGTCACTGCTACAGGTCTTAGCCATGCCGGGAGCTTACTTCTGCCCAGCCACTGAACCACTACGGCTCCTGCCGTCATTTACTGGATGCTTCCTAGACATGAACCACGTGCCCCTTCATGCAAACAGCCACTCACACTCACCAAACCCCACCCGGGACCGCACAGCTCCTGTTCAGTGACCAGGAGACTGAAGCTCTGAGAGGTAACACAGCTTGCGAGCTGGCAGAGTGGGGTTTACGGCTGTGTCTGTGAGCCCTGACCAAGCCACAATTCACACAAGGCCCTCTCAGACTGCCAGAGCACCCCTGGCTTCTGGCCCATGATCCTGAGCGAATCAAGGACTTCTTGACATCCCAGCCCATGCTGTGGCTACTCCTCGTCTCTGCCCCCTGACCGTCATGTGACAGGAGCCTTTCTGTCTGGCTGCAGGAGAATGGGAATACAGGCCAGGGCCAGCTACTAGGGAATTCTGGGATCCTGTGTGCTACCTCACACAAAAGTCCAGCCTGGCCATTAACACCAACAGAGGCATTTGTTGCTGTTTTTAAAATAAGAACTGAGCCCAGTGCAATGGTCTAGTAGCTAAATCCTTGCTTTTCATCTGCCAGGATTGCATATGGATGCCAGTCTGTGTCCTGGCTGCTCCACTTTTCACCCCGCTCACTGCTTGTGGCCTGGGAAAGCAGTAGAAGGCAGCCCAAGGCCTTGGGACCCTACACCTAAGTGGGAGACCTGGAAAAGACTCCTAGCCCCTGGTTCCTGGCTTCAGATCAGCTCAGCTCCAGCCATTGCGGCCACTTGGGAAGCAAACCAATAACAGAAGATCTTTCTGTCTTTCCTCTCAGTATATCTGACTTTCCAATAAAAATAATTAAATCTTTAAAAAAGATAAATAAAATAAAAGCTAATTTCTGAGTTCCCTTCTGATTTGGATGCTTCCTAAATCTAGATAGTTCTTGTCTTCACCCTCCCTGCCCATTCCTTTCAGTAAAATCAGAATACTTCATCAGAGTTCCAGAAGAGGCTCAGGAGCTTAAAAGGGTGAACATTCCACACTCCACCACACTTTCCAAGACTGGAGGCTAAGGGGCACAGAACTAGAGACATCCCCAGGCACCTCAAGGCACCTGGGACATGGGAAGCGAGGTCCCCAAATATGGGAACATCCCACCTTTTTTACAAGTAAACAGCAACTTGCACAACCGAGCCATCACTGCTGAGCCATCACATGGGGGCCAATTCAACCACAATACAGTCCCTCACACATACCCCACTGCCCACACTCCTCCCCGGACCAAAAACCAACAGATCAGCCCAATAATCTCCCCAGGTCACAAGGCACAGTGCCAAGTCTCATCTGCCCTGCAAGTGTGGCAGTGAGTAACAGGCCAAGTCTTGAGCCTAGCACCTGCCTCCAGTCTCAACCACCACCCTCCCAAATCAGGTCAAAATGAACCTTCCGAGAGAGAGAGGTCCTGCTCCAGTGAGTCCCTACAGTTGGGCCCCAACAGCTCCCACACCATCTCCACCCCGACCAAGTACCCACCTGGCGGTAACGGCGCTCTGAGCACACCTTGCAGAGCCCATTGAAGCGGTTCATGGCTGCGGGTCCTGCCTCGGCTGCCGCCCCATGCAAAGCCAACTCTCCCCCCAGCAGCGGGAGCCCGCTCTGCGCCCGTCAGCCTGGCATGACCGCCCTGGGAAGCCCGCCCCACAAAAGAATGGCAGGAAATCACCTCTCACCTCCCCAGGCCCCGTCTGCGCTGTGTGCCGCAGCATGATAAGCCTGAAGGCTTCCTGAATCCTCGAGTAACAAGGAAGGGGGAGAGTTTAATATGAAAATTCCTGTCAACTCGTTAGTATTCCCTGGGCCTGGCGGGGAGAGGGCGCCTTTGTTCTGGCTGCATTCCCCACCAACCAGCCACTTGGCGAGTCCAGTGTTCTCATAGACAGCCTTGCCCACAGGAGAGCTCAGGCAGAGAACGCATCCAACAGGCTCTCCAACCACAGCACCACCTGCCCCCAAGTCCCAGGGTCCCAAGTACAAGCCCAGGGGACTCTCTCAGCCTAAGGGATCCAGGAGATATCTGGGAGGGTTGTCCCCTGAACAGCCCCTCTGAGGCAGAACCCTCTGAGGACCTGCCTTTCTGCTATCCACTCAAGCTACCCTCAAGTCTGTTTCCTTGCCTATAGAAGGGATTAAGTGATGTGGGAACCGTGGGTCCCAATGTGACATTTCTAGGTCATTAGATGAGCCAGTATCCTTGTCTCACCCATGAAAATGGTCACACAAAAAGCTAGTGGCCAGGCAGGGACCAGAACCCAGGTTCTGCATCCCGTCTAGCACCCCTTATCACCTCAGAGCACAGCCTGCAAAAGTACAAGGTGAGCCCAGTCCCCTCTGCTGGGCTGACTCTAGGGAAGCCCCATCCAACCACTTACATCCCCACTGAGAGTAGCTATCCCTTGGTCCAGCCCAGCCTGGGATGCTGAGCAAGCATCAGTATCCCATACCCCACCCACTCAGTTTCTGGGCCTGAATCTCTCTTCCTCAGTGTAAGAGCTGAACAGGTGACCTGGAGGTCTCTCCTCTGGCCCCAACCATATCTGACAATTTGGCCCTCTTGGCTAAGTCCTGGACACAGCTCTGGTGTGCAAGCCCACTGCCCCCAGGGACAGTGTCCCAGGGGCTAGGAGCTAGGTGCAGAGGCCAGCACAAAGCAGGACTTTCTCAAGCTGCCACAAAACCCACAGTGCTGATGCCCATGGGCTCCCTGGGTCCTCCCTTTCTCTGCTCAGCAGGTGCAAATGGAGGGGAGAAGCCTCAGCAGCTCCCATTTGAAGCCAGAGGAAAGCCTTTAAGTTCCACACAAAGCCATACATAGCAGACCCACAAACTACTCTCACATTACGCTGCCCACAACTAGGCCTATGCACAAGAAAACCTGAAATGAATTAAATACTTAAAATGATGCTCAATTCCTTGGTCACCTTAGCCACATTTCAAGCATTCAACAGCCATGGGCAGAGATTACACCATCATAAACTGTGTGTTCCATACAGAGTAGGACTTGGCCATGCTCATGGCTATGTCCCAGCACCCAGAACAGAGCCTGGCCCAGTGGCTGGCGGCACTAAATGGGAGAATGAAGGAAAGACCTGAGTCCATGAAAAGAAAAATGCACTGTAGAGGGCAATGCCTAACATATTCATATGGAAGACATCAACACCATTCTGCCCCGACCCAGGCCACAGGCAGGAGGCAGTGTGGCACCATACCTTTGGAGGTCCTCAGAGCCTGCCTCTACCACCTGCTGGCTGAGAGGCAGCACAGGCTGAATCTTCAGTAAGATAGGGCACTGCCTCAGAGAGGGTAGGAGAGGGATGGGTAATGCCAACACCTGGGAAGGAGCGGCTGTTTAGACACTGAGCATGCACTAAAGAGTGGGAGAAAACCGCAGGTTTCCACTGTGCCCTGCGAGGAGAAGAAAGGAAATCTGGCACTTTCTCCCAAACCTCTGGGGAATGTTCCTCTCCTCATTCAAAGCCCTAATGGAGAACTCAACAACCTCAGGTCCAAAGTCGCAGCTGTTCCCTATCCCCACGTGGGCACAGTTTGAAAGGGTGACCTGGGGCACAGCGGCATGGCCTAGTGGCTAAAGTCCTTACTTTGAATGCCCTGGGATCCCATATGGGCGCCGGTTCTAATCCCAGCAGCTCCACTTCCCATCCAGCTCCCTGCTTGTGGCCTGGGAAAGCAGTCGAGGATGGCCCAAAGCCTTGGGACTCTGCATCCATGTGGGATACCCAGAAGAAGTTCCTGGATCCTGGCTTTGGATCGGCATAGCATCGGCTGTTGCACTCAGGGAGTGAATCATTGGACGGAAGATCTTCCTCTCTGTCTCTCCTCCTCTCTGTATCTGACTTTCCAATAAATAAATAAATCTTTAAAAAAAAAAAAGAAAGAAAGATAGAAAGGGTGACCTGGCCACTGGGTCAGGGGAAGCCATGGACCAGGGCAGAGGGTAGACTTGGCTTCTGGGGGCCCACAGGCAGTAAGATGCAGATGCATCCATCTCCAGTGGTAGAGGCCTGGCCATCTCACCACCATGGCCATAATCGTGAGTAACTCAAGAAAAGCATAGCACTTCGTCTAGTACACCTGATAAGAGTTAAAGAATAATGTCTTCTGAACATAAGGCTTGCTGCACTCCGAGTACAAGCTGCTAAGCCCTCTTAGGGTCTCCCTGGCGTGAGAACTGACAAGGGGAAGATCAGAGCCTGCCCCCTGGAGCATTGCTCAGGGTCCCCAGCCCCACCAGAGCCTGCCCCCACCTACCTTGAATTTCTCTCCAGTCTCAGTGTCCCCACATCCTGGCACTCTCAGCAGAGGGTCTGAAACATGACAGAGCAGAGTCACAACAGTTCTGCAAGCATGCAAGGGTCTGTTGTACATACCACTCTCAAGAAGAGGCCGGGTAACAGGTCTGTGTGGCTATTTGGATCATCCCTGGCCTCTGGACCACAGAGGCACCTGGAGTTTGGGCCATTTGGGGACTGGGCCATGTGTGGGAAGGACAGAAGTGGAGGCTTAGCAGGGTCTAGACACCCTGTTTCCACAGGTCAGCAAGGCATCCCAGAGGAGGATTTCATGACCAGGAACCCCATGAGAGATCATCCATGAGCTGCCACGAACCTGCAGAGGGGTGAGCTGAACCACCTGGGTCAGGTTCAGCAGTCCACCCAGACAAGTACAGGCATCAAGGGGCAGGAGCCTGCGTACTGCAAGGGCACATGACGGGTTTCAGGACTCGGGATGACACAAGCCACAGAACAAAGAGAGGGCAAGAGGAAGCACAGGCAAGGGGTACTGCCAGGGTTGCGCTCACACCTTTTAGGGGCCGCAGCCGCCGCCTGGCCACCTTCAGGTGCTTGGTGCGGCCCAGGTCCTCCCCGAGAAGGTAGTACCAGCCACTGACCTCCTGTTCCAAGAGAAGAATGACACACCCAAATGAAGGAAGCAGAGGTGCTGGTCAGGCAGCCACCCTCTGCCCCAAAGTCACCCTTGAACAGCCTCCTCTGAAAGACACAGACACTCTACCCACCCTGCCCCGCAGCTATCATATGGACCTCCCTCCAGGAAGCCTTCACTGATGCCCTGGGCAGAGTCTCCTGGCCTCTCATTCTTGAAAGATACCCATCTCTTTTCCTGCCTGGTATACAGGAGAAGCTCAGCAAATGCATGATTCAGAACAGAAAGCAAGGAATGGGAGCAGGATGGAGAGGATGGAGGCATCCTCAAGGCGCCAGCACAGTCTCCTCAGGGAATGAACTCAAGGCCATGATCAAGACACGGTCACTACGGCCCCCATTAGGGACATAGGGCTTTAAGCCATCCATCCTCAACTTTTCCAGGACACAGAGCAGACCAGCAGGACATTTCTGGCAAAAGGAGTACCTCCCACCCATGTTCCAAAGCTTACAGCTTTTGGGATACAGTGCAGAGCAGAGGAAGACCAGGGACTCACGGCCCAAAAGCAGAGGTTTCTGTATCCCAGAGTCCTCACTCACCCTGAAGGAAATTCCACACAGAGCATGTGCTGTTTACCCCATCCCTCAGCACCTGCTAGACCCACAATGTCAGGCATGGTGGATACACCAAGAGGATCCTCTAGAGCAGGCCACAAGGAAAACCTGGCCCTGATTATCCAGGGTAGCCCAGGATTGCTAGGCCTCAAGTAACCTGCCAAGATCCTCAATAGCAGGCACCAGACTCAAGACCTTGTGGATGCTTAACAACTGCTCTCTGGCAAGACAAATTAGAAGCAGACCCAAATCCTCAGCTAGTCCTGTGATGAATAATACAGTTATTCAGGCCTCTAAACCACTGCCTCTGTAGGGCACCATCTCACAGACAGATGCCCTTGCCCGTCCCAGTTCTGGCTCAGGTGGGGTGAGGCTACCAGCAGTACCCCAGTACACACCTTGTCTGGAGTCAGAAGAGACTTCACCCCGAAGCTCATGCAGCCGATGAATTCGCTGTGTCTGGGAGAATGAGAGGCTTGAGTCAACACCTTTTTGTGGGTTTACCTTGGGACATCCATTGTCAAGCAACCTGGGCTTGCTTGCCTGTTATACCAGCTTATAAAGCACTTGCCCATGTACCATTTTACTTGCTCCTTCTGACTTGGAGAGGTGGGCTGCAGAAGAGTTATTAATTCCTTTTACAGAAGAAAATGGAGCTCAGAGTTGATTCCCAGCCCTGGGTCACAGAATTAGCTAGCAGTCTGGTCCAGCAGAGTCCTGACCATCCCAGGCCTTGGCGCCATACTTCCTCTACCAACTACAACCATTCAGAACCACCTGATTTTAGGAAGAACCCGAAGACCAGTCCCCATGACAAGTTTCCCCTCCCACATCTGTTGGTGATGCTTAACCTAAGAGAAAAGCTATGGGACCACAAGCTCGAGGAGCTCAATCCCAGGTCGAGGCAGGACCCAAGCAGACACAAAAACATCACTGAGAGCAACCAGACCCGACTGCCAGCAAGACAAGTAGCCACAAGCCAGGGCCAGGCCCCTGGCAATGTCAGACTATGGT